CTCTATTTCTATACATATAAGCCATCACTGGATACAAGAAATCTGTTCACAAATGAGTGTCAAGAGAGCCAAAGGGTTTAAACGATATCACAATATAGACTATAAAACTTATTCTCCACTCATATTGTAATCATAATAACAATTATAAAGGTATTCTTATTACACAAACCATTTATCATTCAGACTTACATTTAGTGATTGAAAAAATAATTAAAATATATTACTCTATGTCTACTCGTTGTCCACAAACACCCCTCTCTATACACATTTAATCCACATTTGAGGGCTTATTAACAGAAATTTAAGACTTGGTATGACTCGTGCAATACTATACCTCAAAGTGTAAGACTAGCTGTGATTTGCATTTAATTTTTGTATCTCATAACCACTATATTTTTAACAACAAAATATTTCAGTCGTAAATTATAATGAAATGTCAATTAAACTCAATTTAAACGGGGATCAGAAATATCAATGTATTCATAATAAGGGTAAAATACGGTGGCATTATTTTCATTTGCAAACTAAACTCAATTTGTTAGTTTATAACTTTTTTTTATTGATTTTTTAGATAAGAGTAGAATTGTTTCAATTTTATAGTCAAATAAAATATTCATATTTTACTTTCAAATTATACGAAACATAGAGTTCAAACAAATAGTAAGCTATTTTGTTTGATATCTAATTGTGTCTCAAATATACATTATATTGATTTTAATGATCTCTCAATAGATCTCCAGTAAGACTGCAATAGTGTGTGACAAACGCATTGACATAATATAATACAAATGATGCCCACATCCCGGTTCCCTCCGCTCAACCTATTTCTGAATATATATTACTTGATTTTGTCTCATATGACCCCTTATTAGATACACAAAACGACCGCATATTTGAAATTCAGAGAAATCTATGTTTACTTTTTTGTGCCAAAACTAAACTTTGTTTTATATTATTTGAGACAAAATTGAAATAAATTTAAATCCAATATAAAAGGAGAGCAAAAAACTACTGCAGAATATATTATATATAAAAAGAAATGTTATTTCACTTATTGTTAGTTTAGGCATGAATTCACTTATATTTATTTGAATCTAAATTAATATTGTTTTTGCCAAAAAAAAACTTTATTTGATTTATTCGAGACTGTGTCTCAAATTTTTATTATTTATTCTTTGGCCCCTATTTTTGCTATCTATCGACAAAATTGTCAATTTTGTGACTCAATTCAAATCAAACAAATTTATTTGCTTTAAGTAAAACTAAAGTACAAACGAAATGTATTTTTGCCATAATTTGTATTTTTTAGATCAATTTACGGACAAAAGAGTTTTATGTTTTGCAAAGTTTTCTATTTTTTAAAAAGACTTTATTTTTGATTGAATTTTAAATTTATTTCTTTTAATAACGGTTCAGAAACCTCTCCATAAAGTTTGCCCAAAAAATAAAATATAATTTTGAAAAATTTAAAACAAAATGCGAATAAAAATTACAACAAAAAACTCATATATCCTTTCAAAAGAAATTGCTCACAAAATTTGTTTAACATTTATAATAAGATATTATTATAATAATATATCATTAAATAAAAACCTTTTCCCATATTTAATGAATTGAAAAAACAAATTATGAATTATATATGAATTTTGTGCCCAACAGGAGAATTATAATGAGATCAGTATTTGTTGAAAAAGAGACCATTTTTAGGACTAAATTTAGTCTTTATTTTCTAATAATGAGTCCAAAGAATTGAAACAAAAAATAAATTTCTGACATAAGCCTTAAGACATCCAGTTTTCTAAATGAAATCCAATCGAAAGCTTCAGATAAGGAATAAATTTAAGTTTTTTTGTTCAAAATTATCACAAAAAAGAGACTTTTCTTTGAGAGCCATTGAATAATCATATGAATTGTATTTATTCAAGACATCGCTTTCGCATTACTTTAATAGGGATTTCTCACTATTGTAGCCAAATTTAATTCAAATGTTTTTTAATTTAATTCTATTCGTGAAAATCCCCGAAAATAAAGTTGAATAATAAATAATCTTAAGATTAAACTCTGACTATTTTTCGCGTGAGTTATATATCTCATAGAATATATCGCATTGTATTGTGAAATGAAAATTGAATTTCAAAATTGTTTGCATTTGAAAAAAAAGATATGCAAAAAGAAGTGAATATCGATTTCAATGCTAAATAAGATCCAAACAAAAATATAATTGAAATTAAATTAAAAAATTTTTGAAAACCAAATTAGTTATGCGGGTATTTACATGTACAGAATATTCTGTACATAAGTTATATACTATTAAATTATTATTCAACCAAAATATGACTAATAATTTTTTGGAAAATTCAAATAAGACTTACGTAATGCACTTTCCCCTCACGATATTCAGGATATTTTTTGTCGAGTATTTCATATATTTCTTGCGCTTCTTTTAATTTGGAAGAACTTATGTAAAGAACTCCCAAATTGTCCAAAATTTGCGAGTCTTCCTGAACTGCCAGTGCTCTGAAAAGTTAGATATATTTGAGTAAATAGTAGACTATAAATATTTAAACATAAAAAACATTTTGATTAATTTGTTTTGAGAATAGATTAACATAGATTATGTGATTATTAAACCTATCTGTGCACAGATAAAGTTTTGGGAATCAATTTAATTAGTTTTTCTAATATTAAAAGTTTCATTCTATGTTTCATTGGGCAGAATAACTCAAATTCCATAATAAGGCATATATTATATTTCTATTATAAATTGTGATTGTATGGCATAATGTGTAATATTAATGATTCTTAGAAATACGGTTCACATTGAAACAATTTAAACATTGAATGTTCAAATCTGTGTCTTATTTTGAATATTCTTTCTCTCAAATTAAAAACGAATCTCTCTCTCTCTCTCTCCCCGTTATTGTATATTGTAATATAATATTAGAGAATAAAAAGCTTAAGAATAAAAATGTTATTTAACAGGAGAGAGAGAGAGAGGAGAGAGAGAGAGAAAGAAAGAAAGAGAGAGAGAGAGAGAGAGAGAGATGGAGGACTGGAGAGCTGTTGTTATTTAGAATATGAGATGAGTCTGTGATGTAAAATCATTTGACTTGAATTGCAAATCATATTGTATTGAATATATTGCATAACAGCTGACGAACAGACATGAGGCCAACAAATGCATCGAAAGGCATAGTATTCATAGAAAGACCTAAATTGCATAAAAGCCGATACACTTAATCCCCGCCAGCATAATATGACTTGAATAATACTAGTCTAACCAAATTTAATACTCTGAATGCACACAACATTCAAATTGGTTTTATGTAACGAACAAAACAATCAAATCGATAGCCATTCATATTATTTAATTTTATTTTCAAATAAAATGATCACATTTTGGCGACTGAAATTCAAGTAAATTATGACATTTCTAAAACATTAATGTTGTTTTAAATTTACGATACAAAATATTTGATTCAATGTTTCTAATTGATAACTATGCTCGTAGAAAACTTTTAATTATCTAAAAAATAATTTCTAAATTCAAATGAATTCCCTCTATTATAAGGAAACGTGTTTAAAGAACATATTTATTTAGCAATGCAATTTCTTCAAGTAAACATTTCAATTGTAAATGTTTTCAGACATCTAGACAGTTATTATTGACAAAAAATAAAACATTTGGAAGGGACGAATTGATTTTTTTAAATTCAACGTTTGATTGAATGTTTGATAAATTAGAGACATTTCACTGTTTCTATCCATTAAATAATTTGAGTGCAGAAACAATGTTAAAGAATTGTATGGAAACCTAAGTCTGGGTCTTCTGATGGCAAACCCAGTCCTTTGAGGANCGTTTGATTGAATGTTTGATAAATTAGAGACATTTCACTGTTTCTATCCATTAAATAATTTGAGTGCAGAAACAATGTTAAACCCTCTTTAGAAACCTAAGTCTGGGTCTTCTGATGGCAAACCCAGTCCTTTGAGGAATAGAATTACGAGAAGAACTTTATTGCTCTTTAGGTAACCGTTGTTTTGTCAATATATGCGATAAATATATAGATTTATAGAATAACATCATATTCTGTATCGAGTTTTCTGTGCTGAAAATACATTATATATAAGGGTTGCCTAATCTCTTATTTAGCTGCTTTCACAAGTTATTTTGCTGAAGTGTATGCTATATGGACAAGCGTGTATGTGATTCTATAACGATATGTTATGTCTGATGTAGAAATTTGTTACATAGAATACTGTGACAAAGAAATCACTTTAAAATGTAAACTTTTGTGTGATGAGCCTATGTCTCGACAGTTTCCAATATATAGTTATAAGCGGCTAATAAATAATGAAAATATGTGTTTGTGTTTTCATATTAGGGCACAGGAATTTGATTTTTGCTTAATATTCAGTGCACTACTCATATGAACATTAGTTTCAATAAAAGGAATTATGAAAAATAGGAGTTGTTTTCCATTATATGTCAAACGAGTGAGAAAATAGTGACAAAAACTTTCGCTTCATATGAGCTGAAACTGAATTTCTTTGTCAGATCTGTGATAAAAAAGAGTTCAATAATTGAATTGAATTTAGAGTCTCTATTCAAAAGGATTTTTGTCGATCTCGTGAAATATCTGTTCATTTGAGTTCAAAATGATTTCACTTCAAGAGAAATGAAATATTTTGCGCTTTTATAAGTGACAAACAAGAGGTCTGGGCATTATGGGTGTGTTAGGATACGGTATTCAATATACAAAACAATATATTACACAACAGAAAACCAATCAGAAATCTGAATAACCCTTTCATTTCTTGCGAAATAAATATGTAGAGAGGATTTCCTGGTAATGCCGGCGCGGCCTAACGTGAAACGATTGGGACGTAAAGATATGTGTGTTTTGGGCTATACGATTGTGTAGAGTATTTTGATGCCATTATTTTGTTGATCATCTCTAAAATATGTTTCACTTCTCTTCAAATATGTCTGTTGTGTAAAGTGTAGGACCACTGGAAGGACTCCTCAACTAAAGCCTGCAGTTCTGCCATTAATCACAATATGATGTCTGAGAGATGCCTATTATATTGAAAATCGTTTATCACAATTGGATGGCGATATCGACTCGACTGGTGAGTCGTTTTGTGTGCACTTTTGGTCCACCGCTCTCTCTATTGTTGCGGTCGTCCGTCACAACTGTTATGTAATAAAGTCTTGTGTCCTCTCTCTATCTATCTCTCTCTCTCTCTCTCTCTCTCTCCATCACTATCTCTATGTCTATGCGTTCGTGAGTCCGACTGTCTCTGCAATACATACCTCTTGTAAAGAGTCTCGGCTTTCTTCGTGTGTTTCATGGTTTTGAGAGTCCGGGCGGCGTTCACGAGAGCCACCGTATGGTTGGGCTGTATCTCAATTGCTTTGAGATATTGCTTCACAGCCTCATCGCTACGACCTGTCCATTCAATTAACAATACATTCATTTGAGTTATACGTTTGCCAATACTTATCGTTTTCTATTCTCTAGTTTTTTCTCATTATGTCTATTGAGAGCTATTTTTTGTCTGCAAATACAATCCATTCAATAAAATGCGAAAATATTACATAAGATATAATAAAAACCTAAAACACAATAACGAGTCTTAATAACGAGCTGTCATTAGATACTATTTATCTTAAATATAACTGTCATTTCATAAGTTATATCAAACGATAAATGCTTTTTTCAACTCTATTTATATTGCGATCTCTCATACAAAATAGCACTCAAAATATAATTCCCATTAAATATAGCAAACACTCTATTCTTACAGTATTTAAAGAATGTAAAGAATATATTCTTTGTATAACTTAATAGTCGGTGTTATAGTGTATAGTTATGCAAATTGATATGAATGCCTACCTGTCCGCTGCAAAAAGGCACCGAAATTATTACAGAAGTCAGCATTTTCTGAGTCCAACTGAAGTGCCTGTAAATGAAGTCTCTCTGCGTCTTCATTGCGACCGTTTTGGGCATAAAGTGAAGCCAACGCTGAATAAGGCTCTGCAAACTCCTCGTCCAACTCAATGGCTTTCTTTAATAAACTGATTGCCTTTGCGGTGTAGCCCTGCTTACTGTGTATGCAAAACAATACATATTTATTAATACAATAATCGTATTTAAATTCAATTCATATTATTATCAATGAAAATATACTGTATAATTGTCACTTTGAACATTTGTTTAATTA